CATGCTTTCCTTCACCCAAGAATGTTTCAGTGTCTGGGAGTTTCAACCCACCAAATTTGATAAACCCATCTCCTTTCTGGCAGTCTAATGGGTTATTGCGGATGCACCCCTGATACCAGTCCATTGAGTTACCTTCATGTGATTTAAAATTTTAAATGAATTTTTAAAGACTCAATAGTTACTTATTCAAAATTTATTGATGATTTTAATAATATTTATAACATAATAAAGTTAGGTAGCATAGAGACAAGACTTACTAGGTTCCAACCACTCTCTCTGTGCTACCCTCAGAGTGTTCTCCAAATGTTCTAGCCATGTCGAAATCTGAAATTTTGGGATTCATTTCACTGTCAAGTAAAACGTTGCTTGCTTTAAGATCTCTATGGATGGTCCTCAATCTTGAATCTTGATGTAGATAGACAAGTCCTCTAGCAATTCCACAAATAATGTGAAAATGCCTTGGCCAGTCTAATAGCCTTCTTCTTCTATCATCTGTCATGTAAGATGTTCTTTGTAAAAATGTACTGTTCAACAAGAGTTTTTGAAAATGAATCGCATGCATTGAAAAGATTAAACAACTTGTGATAAATTTATGCTACTCCTACTGAGTTAATTAAACAGGTCTCATAAGAATTCTAACCAAAAATGAAGAAGTCCAAACTTTTATTAGGCAGATATTCATAAATCAGCATTTTCTCCTCAACGCAGCATCCTAGAAGTTTTACAAGATTTCGATGTTGAAGTTGGACTATAAGTGCTACTTCATTCTTGAACTCAACTAATCCTTGTCCAGAGCTTCTTGAAAGTCTCTTCACAGCAATTTGTTTTCCATCTGGCAGAGTACCCTGGAAAGGTGCTCACTTAAAGTTCAATTCTTAACAAACAAAAACTAAATGTCCTAATAGTCGTTTTAACTAGAGCTCTTAACATTTACCTTGTATACAGGCCCAAAGCCACCTTGTCCTAGCTTGTTGCTCAAGGAGAAGTTATTGGTAGCCTTCGATATTGCATCTAACTCAAATACTGGGAGTTCCATATCTTCATTTTGCCTTTCGTCGCTCCTGCTATTTTCTCTTCCTAAAAGGTGAAGAATTTAATGAAAATCAAATAGTGAGGAAAGAACCAATAATGGAAGTTATTATCAGAGTTTAATGGCAACATGAGTTTTCAAGGTAAAGAAACATGCCTTCTTTGTTTCGATGGCTCCAGTAAATGTAATAGGTGATTACAAGAACACCAATAACCACAAGAATGGTACTTGCAAGTATCAGTCCTAACTTCATTTTGGTCTTGCCTTTTGTTTCTTCATGGTCTAATTTAATAAAGCAAAGAGGAAATATGTGAATAGTATCTCAACAATGAAATAGTTTCACAACTTGACTGAAAATAGAACTTATAACACCCAACAGAAATAGAAATCATTACAAAACTAAATGAAACATTGAAATGTCTAACCCAATACCTGAATCAGCAGCCGACATTCGAATGTATAAATGTTGTCTAGCAAATTGGACCTTCTTAAGATCAAGTAGCTCACCAAACCAAATTGCACAGCCTCTGTTTTCTTTAACATCCAAGGTTGTGTAGGCCATACAAGGACAATCTCCTAAGCATTTAGCCCTGCACTCCTTGAGATCCATACTTCTATTCACCCAAGAATGTTCAGTATCTGGCAGTTTCAACCCCTCCAGTTTGATAAATCCATCTCCTTTCTGACAGTCTAATGCGTTATTGCGCACACATACCTGACTAGACAAGTCCACTGAGTTCCATTCTTGTGATTTTGGCTTGAAACCTTTCAAACATTGACAAGGCGGCATCAATGTGTCGAGACAGGTCTCATATGCCGCACACATCCCATAGTTATCACAGTCATCTGTTGGAAGTTGACTGTACACTACCCAAGTTCTAGCTTCTTCATTCCATATGGTGCGCTGCAGCCTACTGGAAGTTTGGTTCAAAACAATTGTTGTGATTATTGATTTGATTTTGAGGTAATAGATGATGTATATCTCCTCTTCATTTATGGTGACATTGAACGTAAAGTAGAGATTTGGCCCGGTAGGCTTAAACCAGTCACTCCAATGCCATCCCTGCCGCCTGCACGGAAATACTTGTTTGAGCCTTTCCACATAACAAGGTCAGGATAATTATATCGCTCTATCCCAAGAGTTAAGTCTCCAGGGCATGGATCATCTGGGGACTTCCACGCTGATAGTCGTCGATTAAGATCAGTCCTTAAGTCCCATCCAAGTTTCATCCCTGGCAGCCAAGAATTAGTGGGATAGTCAAAGCTTTGCCACAAAAGTGTTTCTGATTTACCAGCAATTCTATCCTGTAGAACAAGATTTCCAGAATCCAAGAGCTGCAAACTGGGTTTTGAGCACCATTCCTTGAGTTTGGTGCCCAAACAACACTCCCGCTTTGACTGAGGAGTACCAGATTGCCTGTGCTGTTTATCATCGAAACACCAGACGTGTCATTAATCGGGTCGCACCGATTTGCAACCCAAACAACTGTTTGAACTGAGATTTTCTTTAACCAAATTCCCAAGTAACGGCTCTTGGTGGAGCTTCCAGAACTGAAAAAGTCCAGTTCAAAGCTTCCATCATTAGAAACTAAGGTCGCACCATCACTAAGATTGGTGGATGAGATCATGATATCAGTTCCACATGAGAGTGTAGAGAAGAAAAGCAGTAAGAGGATGATGATAACAAACATAAAAAATCTAATGTCTATTGTTTAGTTGTTCTGAAGGATTTCAAAAATAAAAAAATAAAGCTAAATTAAAGGAATTTTTAATTAAGGTATGAAAACTCAATTAAAGTAATATCTTTCATTGATTTAGTGACTCTTTTAATTATGAGTTTTTACTTTTTATTGAAACTAAGAAACCCTCGTTTACACACCAAGTTTTATGGATAAATTGGTAAGTATGCCCAATACTTTGACAATTATCAAGATTCGAACTATGACACTACTATATTACAATTTCTCATTTCCTACCCTAAATTGTACCTGTTAAAAAAAAATACCCTCATTTACTTCTACTGTAAAGACTTTTTTCTCTCTCTTCCAACTCCGTTTGCCTTCTTTGCTCTTCTATTTCCCACGTTAAAATCATCTTACATAATCCTGGTTTTTTCCTCTCCAACTTCCCCACTGTTTCCCAATTGAAATCAATCTCTTACAATAATAAATCAAAGGGAACAAAGAATGATTGAAGAACATGCTAGTCTTGTTACTATAAATTTTAGTCCTATTATTATAGATTTTCATTTTGTTTGTAGGAATATGCTAATCCTATCATTTTCTGTCATATAAATGCTAGTCTTGAAATTAGTTGTGATTGATTGTTACTCCTATATATCTATTTTTCTCTAACGTTCAACCGTATAGATTTTCACAGATTTTCATTTATTGAAAGAATCATATATTGTCAACATCTTAGGGAAGAACATCAGAATGAAACCAGTAAAATATTTCGTCCATTTCCTTTCACCCTTGTATTCTAGGCTTCCTTTACAAAGGAAGAGGTTTTAATAGCAATAGCTTGTTCTAAGTGGCGGTGGAAAATGGAAGAACAAAATGATGTGTTAAAAAGTTGATTCTGAAGTAGGGGGGATTAGAAGAGAGAGGAAAATACAATTTTCTAAACTAATTTTGAAGCAGGGAATAGCAGAGTGAAGAATGCAAACGGAGATGGAAAGAGAGGAAAATAGTATTTTTAGTCGAGATAAATGAGGGCAATCTCAATAAAAAGCAAAAAGCTTATAATTAAAAGAACTGCTAAATAACTCGTTCTACATGAAATTAATGTTAAAAATAAAGTTTGTTTTTACAATTTTTTTATACAAATTAATAATAAAAAATAATAAAATAATAAAATAATAATAACAATAATTAAAGTAGTATCTTTCATTGATTTAGTAACTCTTTTAATTATGGGTTTTCTATTATTTTTATTCAAATTAAGATACCCTCATTTAGGCACCAACCTCATAGGTCACTTGATAAGTATATTTGATATCTTGACAATACTCAAAATTTGAACTATGGTTATGTAGACTATAATTTACCATCTCCTATCCTAAATTGTACCTTTAAAAATGATTAATGTCAATTTTAGTCCTTCAACTTGAAGATTTTACATAATTTTTGCCCCTCAACTTTTTGCACACTTTTTTAGTCTCTCAACTATGAAAAATATTTTTTTTAATCTTTCCATTAATTAGTCTATTAAATTTATTTAAATATGTACATTTTTAATTTTTTAACTTAAAGTTGAAAGATGAAAAATATACATATATTAAAAGTGAGAGACTAAAAATGTAGATATTTAAATAAATTTAATAGATTAACTAACAGAAGAACTAAAAAAATGTATTTTTTATAGTTGAGGAACAAAAAAAAAAGTGCATAAAAAAGTTGAAGGATGAAAATTATACAAAACTTTAAAGTTGAGAGATCAAAATTGATAT